CACGAACCTTCACCGGGTCTGTTTCTTCACCATATGTTGGGAATACTGGCCGATGGTGAAGAACAAACAAAAGGGCACAAAAGTGCTCTGGAAAGAACAGTTGTGACAGAACTACAAGCGAGGCTGTGGGCCTTCAGAAGGCCAGGGAGGAGGGGAGGATATGTGGGACTGAGGCTGTGAGGGCAGCAAGAAGATGGTGGACAGGAGATGTATTCAGGAGGCACAGCGTGCAGCACTCATGTCTGACTGGCATGGGCAGGGGGGTCCAGGATGAGGCCCGATGGGCTGTTATGGATACTGGGAGGAGGAGAAATGGGAGGAAGTTGCTGAGGTCAGCAGGGGACACGGGGGATGTGAGGAGTCCACTGGCCAGTCAATGGCAAAGTCAGGGACAAAGACAAGAGACTTTGGAGTTGCTTATCCAGGGACTGAAGCTGACAGTACAGGAAGATGGTAACGTTCCCCAGGATATGTGTGGAAGGAAGAGAGACCCTTTGTTCTCACCTGTCCTGCAACCCAAGGGAAGGAACAAGCAAGAGCTGAGCTCCCTGTGAATAAATTATTCTTCATGTTTGCAGTTTTATGGTTCAGAAACCAGTCCCAATTGATACCTTCTTCCACCCTCCCCCCAAACCTCTCTCAGAGGTGGAGAAAGAACCTGAGTGGGGGGCAGGCTCTGGCAGTGAGTCACTTAAGCACACGAGGGGAGCAAGGCAGGACCTGCGCCCACGCCGAGGCTCCTGATTCCCAGCCCAGGACACTGTAGCAGACAGAACAGGCTGTGCTTGGGCTCGGCTGGATCTGGGCTTGAGTTCTGGCCCCAAAGCTTACTGACTCTTCGACTTTGGGTAAGTCCCTTCTCCTCTGAGACTCATTTTCTTCATTAGTGAAAATCAAATCTATCCTAGCTTCTCCTTCATGAGGTAGCTCTCAGGGTTCAGGAAGACCCCAAAGGATGTTAAAGCACTTTGAGCGGTTGGGGCGCCTGGGTGGCTCAGTCATTAAGCGTCTGCCTCTGGCTCAGGTCGTGATCCCAGGGTCCTGGGATCGAGCCCTACATCGGGCTCTCTGCTCCGCGGGAAGCCTGCTTCTCCCTCTCCCCCTCCCCCTGCTTGTGTTTCCTCTCTCGCTGTGTCTCTTTCTGTCAAATAAATAAAATCTTTAAAAAAAAAAAAAAAAGCACTTTGCGCGGTGCCCAGCATGCTGCATGCCACTCAACAGATAGTAACAGCTGCTGTTGTTATGGGGCGCCTGGGTGGCTAAGCGGGTTAAGCATCCGACTCTAGATTTCGCTTCAGGTCATGATATCAGGGTCATGGGATCAAGCCCTGCATCAGGCTCCATGCTCAGTGCAGAGTCTGCCTGTCTCTCTCCCTCTCCCTGCTTGCACGCGTGCTCTCTCTCAAATAAATAAATAAATTTAAAAAAAAAAACAAAAAACAGCTACTGCTGTTATTATACGACTCTTTAAAATATGAGCTTATGGCACCTCTCAGCTCAAACTCTCCAATGCCAATTTCATTTGGTGAAATCCAAACTCCTTTCCCAGGCCTCTCAGGTCCAACGTGATCTGGCCTGTTACCTCTCCGACATGATCTTCAAGCACCTTCTGTTCTTCAGCCTCTGCAGCCACACTGGCTTCCGGCTACTCCCTGAATTCACCACACACAGGGCTCAGGGCCTTCACATTTGCTGTTCTGTCCCAGAATGCCCTTCACTCACATCTTGTCATGGTGTATTTCGTCACCTCTTCAGGGAGGGTCTCTCTGTCCACTTCATCTAAGACAGCCCCTTTGTCACTCTCTGCCCTTACTCCATGAGGCCAGTCAGTTTTGTTCATAGAGCCCCAGCATCTAGATTAGTGCCTGGCACATGGCAGGTGCTTAAAAAACATTTGTGGAACGAGTGGATATGTGGATGTTGCCCTTGGGTCCACTCACTCACCCGTCTCTCTCTCTCCCACGGGGCAATGTAGTCCCTCTCCCGACCACCAGGCCCAGAGAGATTCTGGGGGCCGCCAGGGCCAGGCTCCTTCCACCGTCGCCGCCTCTCTATCCCATAGAGCCCAGGCTGACTATGGCCAGACTCAGACATGGTTGCCTACAGAGAGAAAGAGGTTGATTTCAGGGTGAAGAGACGCTCTCTGATCTGGCTCACTCTGGACTGTAAAAAGGCACTTTGTTTCCAGAGAGCTCTGTGCTGTGGCAGTGGCTGCCAGCTGGCTCTCAAGATCTACTCTTCCTTCACTTCTTCCAAAAAATATAAAACCCTCAGTTCTGAGCAGGGCACATGGCTGTCCAGAACACACTTCCCAGCATAATTTGCAGGTAGATGGCCATGTGACTAAGTTCTTTCTGGCCACTGATATGAACCAGAAGTGTGTTTTGGCAGCTTTCAGGAACTTTCCTTCACAGACATTGGCACATTTTGGCACTGGCCTTCTGCCCTCCTCCTGGCTGGAAGGAATGTGGTGTGCAGGCTGGAGCTCAAGCAGGCACCTTGGACTGGAAGGAAGGAGAGAAGGCATGATAGAAAAAGATTAGGGGGTCCCCTATTATTAACTTTACGTTGTCTACTTCTGGATGTGGTGATAAACAAATACACTCCTCTTACTTGTAGCCAAAACTATTCCCAACTATTAATCCCTTTGCCCCAACATAAGTATAACTCATAGGGGGAGGGTCACATAAAATGGGACATCTTCTTTCCCAAACTGCAGCAAAGCATTTCCTTACAAATCAGTAACATGATCCTCAGTCCGACAACTACTGTTTTGATTACTGAATACTGGCATATGCAGGGCATTCAAGGGCCTATTTTCATCTGGTGTCTCATCTGGCATCAGTCTGTTTACCTTCCATTTCTGATGGTCTGCCATCCCTCACACACCACTCACCAGTGGTTAATCTAAGATGTTATAAAATGTACTGCTACCAATATGATCCACTCCCTACCATTTAATTATCTTTATAGGTCCCACTAGGGAGTTTCCCCAGCTGTTTACACTTCATTCTAGGGAAGTGTCTGAGTACTTAACAGTCTGCTTGCAGGACTATAATGCCATTTACTATACAGCTCACAGGTCAAGTTGGCAAACCGTAGTCTATGGACCAAATCAGGGCTCCCTTCTGTTTTTGTGAATAAAGTTTTATTGGAACACGGCCACGTCCATCAATTTATCAATTGTCTACAGCTGCCTTCTTCATACAATGGCAGAACTGAGTAGTTGAGATGGAGACAGTACAGCCTGCAGAATCTCAAACAATTCCCCTCTGGCCCTTTACAGAAGGTTTGCTGACCCTTGCTTAGCTCTTAGGTGTCTGTGAAATCATACTATGAATCCCCCCACCCACCCAAGCAAACAGTGACTAACAGGTCCCTGTGCAAGATTCTTTCTCCAGAACTGCAGTGTTTACAGGATGTGGGAGTAATTTTGCTAGCCAGGCAGGGGCTTGTCTAGCTCCTCATTGCTCCAAGTGACCTCTTCAGCCACAAACTGAGCTCAAACTGCCTTCGGGGACAGGAGGGCAAGGCCTGTTTACACATGCTTATGGAAAAACGATCCACTCAGCACTTAAATGACCGTTTACAATCTCTGAGGGAGATTCCCCTCAGAAATCGGGACTCCACCCTCCCCTGCCATTAAGTGTTGGTTAATGGAGATCAGTCTGGAGACAGCCCCACCCCCCACCCGGACCCTTAAGTATCTTTCCTCAATGGGGATTCCGCTCAAGCATCTGTTTACACACCAAGGGGACCCCCTTCCCACGCAGTAAGTGGTCCCTTTGCATGTTATTCTGGGAACTTCCACAGTATCTGCGTCTACTTGACAGTTCTAAGGGGGAGCTCCCCAGAATCTGAGTCCACCTACATGCAATTTGGGGACCCCCAGTGTTTCCAGGCTCCTTTGAGGATTCTCCCAAAATGCTTGAAGCCAGTCTGTGTTTATTTACAGGACTCTGACGGTAACCTCGCAGACGTTAGGAATCTAACAAGGCATTCTCTGGGCAGCTTCCTCACCACCTGCGCATCTCTTCACACGACCCTTGTGGGGATTCTCCCCGAACCTAAGTGTCTATTTGCAAACTCCTGACTCCGTATCTATGCCCACCCCCCACCCCCAGAACGTTAAGAGTCGATTCACACTCTTTTTCTAAGGACCCTCTGACACCTGAACACATAATTTTACAAGTTTGATATGGAACTTACGAGTCTATAGATTGCTCAGAGGGCACCCCCCATAATTAGGCACCTGCTTGCAAGCCTATGGGGAACCCTACAACTTAAGTTTCTTTTTACGCAGTATTTAGAGGACCTCCCGGGCACATAGGATCTGTTTGTAGACCCTCTGCGAGCGTGATCCCAAAACTTAAGTTTCCCTTTACACGCTATCGTTGGGACCTTTGCAATACTTAGGCCCTCCCAGAACCGAAGTTCCCATTTACACATTATTTATCGGTCCCCACCCAACGCCGGCCAACCCGGTATTTTAAGGGCTGCTCTTCGCTCCCTACTCAGTTACGCACACCCGCCGGGCGCCCGAGCGACCGTTTAGCGGTCGAAAAGGGGGCGGGGCCCCGAAACGCGCCCCGCGCCCCGCCCCCTGCCGGCGCACAAGCCTCGCGCGGGCTTGCGGGTCCCTTACCTAAGGCGGCTGCTGATTGGCTCTTGGGGCGCAGCGCTACGCGCGCTTTGGCTGGTGGGGGGAGGTCCCACCACAAGCCACGGGCCTGTAAATGACGTCTGGGGGACAAGGAGCGTGGGGGAGATCGAGAGAGCAGGCACCGGTCACTCCGGAACCGGTCTAGGCACCCCGGCAGTGGCACCCAAGGAACGCAGGGCCGAAAGAGGAAGACGAGGAGGTAGCGCGGTTCCGAGCTGAGAGCAGGACCCGCGGGGTGCTGGCCTTACGCATGCGCCGAGGGCTGGGCGAGCGAGAACGGAGTGTCTGCGCCGGGCTGAGCATGCGTCGATGGAGGTGGTTGGCCTCAGCACGCATGCGGATGACGGAGGGGGAGGAGGGAGAACGCTGCGGTTCCGCCTTAGTGCGCGTGCGCGTCTGTCGGGGCCTCTGTGGGAGTGTAACACGGAGGGAGAGAGGGTGGTTACGGAGATAGCAGATTCGAGTCCCGCCTTGTCAGTGCTGTTGGCTGGATTCGGTAGGGTGGAGCGGCAGGGAGGAATTTTGGGTCCTGGGCCGAGGAAGTGCTGAGAACACAGGAATGAATCAGACCGGCGTGAGTGCTGGAAGACAACCCGCTCGGTGGAGGGAGACAGATCAAATCACTTAGGGAAAGGGCCCAGGTCCGGTTGGACCCTGAAGCACGGCCAGGAACACTCCAGGCAGAGGGAAAGGTCTAGACTGTTTTGGATTCAGAGTTCCCCCGGGGTGGGAGGTGAGGCCGCACAGATGGGCAGCTCAGATCCTGAAGGGTCTCCAGGGGCAGGTTCTATCCTGAAGGTATGGGAGACGGAGATGGGGGGAGGGGGGGTGGAACAGGACCGCGTATTAAGTCCCTCGGCGGCCGCAGTGGATGAGGAACCCAGGACTAAGGGCCGAAAATTGAAGACGCCTGTGGCGGAGCCCTGTGCACGCCTGAGGGGAATACCGGGATGAGAGCGCGGCCCGCGGAGAGCGCATGCGCAGCGCCTTAGCGAGGGCCGGCGGTTACCTTTGGGGGGAAAGCTCGCTTCAGAGGACGGTGATTCATAAATATGTCGGCGAATGGGGGGGGTGGGGGATTTACCATTTTTCTTTTGAAATCTTACTTAAAATGTTTTCTAATTTCTATTTGGACAGGGAATACAGGTACATTCTGACAGAATTGAAGCACCTAATGGGGTACACAATAAAAGTAAGTCTCCTACTGTGGTTCCCATATTCCGTTCCTAAAGCACCGGCTCCCAGTTTCCTTCTGGAACTACTCTTAAAGCATTGGCGTTAAGAGCTTGAGTTCACATAAATGTGGGTTCACATAAATGGCAGCCGACCTTAGCCAAGTTCCTTAACCCTCTCTGCCCCCGTTTCTAAAATGAAGTTGGCAGCACCTTGTGATATTAACGGCAGTTAAATGGATGAAAGTTCCCAGAACAGTGCCTGGTGCATAGTAGCACTATGTGTTGTCATGTTTTGTGGTTTACAGTGGTAATGATAGTGATTGATTCTGAGCCGCCCTCTCCCCTGCAAGCCTCATCCCTGTTGCCATTTTCTCAGTACCTGTGCCAGGTGGAACTGTCTCCGGGCTGCCACAGGCTTGGTGAAAACACTAGTCACACAGACCTAAGTTGAGAGCCCTGTTTATGGATTCTCCAGACTGTGGGTGTTTCCCAGAGACACACATGACAATCAGGCCATCTGTATTATGTCTTGTCAGTATTCCTCTTTAGCATCTTAATCTCGGTTAGGTCATTATCGGTTTTTCTTAACTGAATTTCTCAATCCCAGAACACCCTCCATGCCAGTTTCACAACTCCGAGCAGCCCTCAGGTGGAAACGACTTAAAAAGGAAAAAGAAGGGGCCTGACATTGACATTGGGCCCACTGTGTACCAGGCTGTGTTTTATATACATCACTACAACCTTTTCCCCTCCCCATTTGACAGATGCAGAAAATGAGTCTGAGAGAGAAGGTCCTTCCAGAAGTCCCCTAGCCAAGAAGCAGCAGGGCCTGGATTCAAATGCAAGCCTGTCTCACCACAGAGCAAGCCCACATTTTTTTCCCCCGGCAGCGGGCAACCCGCCTAGTGGTGAGTCAGTGGTGCAAACAAGCACCCAGAGACCTGCCTTTTCTCATATTAATGACATGGTTGTGTGGATGTACCATGCTTTTTATCCATTTCCCTATTGATAAACATTTAGGCTGTTTCTGAACTTTAGCTCTCACATTTGCTGCAGTTAATATCGTCATACATCTGATTGTATGTATATGGTAGTATTATCAGTGATATCTTGTTTGAAGTAGAATTGCTGGGTCCAGGGTATAAACTTGGGAATTTTGAGAGCTATTGCCAAATGATCTGTTCATTTCTTCATTCACTTGTCCATTTTATTCATCTATTGAATGAATTATGGAAGTTTAGTAAGCTGCCAAGCGTGGCTGTAGGCTAGAGATCCTACAGTGAATAGGAAAGAGCACTTGCCCTCTAGCAGCAGATGTTCTAGTAGAACAGATGATGTCAGGTAAAAGATACTTGGAAGGAAAAGTCAGGGTAAGGAAATTTTGAGTGACAGAGGTCAGAGAGTGACAGGTGGTTGGAGAGGGCTCTCTGAGGAGGTGACATTTGAGCAGAAGCCTGAAAAAAGGTAAGGAAATGAGCCATATGAAGATGCTGAAAAACAGTCAGTGGAAAGACCCCTGGAAGAAGCAGGAGTGGAGCCGGCTGTTCAAAGATTGTCAGGGTGACCAGGTGACTAGAGCAGAGCGAGGGGAAGAGAGGAAGGATTGTTTAGGAATGGAGCTATGGAGAGGAGCCAGGTTACATAGGGTCTTATAGGCCATGAAAAGGACTTTGGAAGTTACTTCTCAGGTATAACAGGAAGCATTGGAGGCCGTGAGCAAGGACCAGCATGTTGGGATGTATGTTTTATAAAAATTTCTGTAGTGAACACCCCAAATTAATGACAGTGGTTGCTTGTGGGGATGAGAGTCATAGACCCGTGGATCAGAGTTGTGAGGATGACTGTTTAAGACTTCTGCATTTTTGAGCCATGTGACTGTTTATGCACAAAAATGTTAAAGCAGTGCTGGTTGCTGTGGGGAAGATGGCCTGCAGCTGGGCAGGCATGGACACAGGCGATGAGGAAACCCATGTCCCTGCCTGGACGGGAGATGATCGTGGCTCAGGAAGAGGGTTGTGTGAGAGGAAGCATGACTCAGGGATGACTTAAAAGTTATCCTAAAGGTTTTGGGCTTGACCAATTGGATGAAGAGTGATGCTTTTTTATGAAGATGAATTACGAGTCATCTTGATGGGAAATTGACAAGCTTTGAACTTACTCTGAGATACTCACTAGATATCAAGTAAGGAGTGACACTTTGGGGGAGAAACCAGGATTTGTAGATACACAGGTTTTACTGACTTTATGAAATTTTATTTTATTAAAAAAATTTTTTTTGCATTATGAAATTTTAAAAGCAAACATAAAGGTATTATGGTATGAAGAATTCTCACATGCCCATCATTCAGTATTGATAGTCATCTACGTTTTACTTCTCTTGTTCTCTTTTCCCCTCCCACACATAAGCACACTTTTTACTTGGAGTTTCTTTACTTTTTTAAAAGCACATCTCAGATGTCTTGTCATTTTATTAGCCGCTATACAAGTATGCTCCATTTGGAGCTTTTAGTATATAGATGGTACTTAAAGCCCTGGAATTGGCTAAAACCATCCAGGCTGAGTGAGTAGACAGAGCAGAGGCTAGGCCCTGGGGCCTCCCACATCTAGGAATCAGGGGAAGGACCAGCACCCCAGAAAGGGGCTGACAGTAGGAACATCAGCAGAGGAGGTGACCTGGAGCCAAGGGAACAAAGGGTTCCAAAGAGACGGTGATCAGCTGGGGACCAGAGGTCCGGGGAAGTTGTTAGAGGTAGGCGTGGGGTCCACCATGAAGAAAACATGGCTTTTGGGGCACCTGGTGGCTCAGTCAGTTAAGTGTCTGCCTTCAACTCAGGTCATGATCCCAGGTTCCTGGCTCCCTTCGCGGGGCGGGGATTGGAGTCTGCTTCTCCCTCTTACTCTGCCCCCCCACCCCACTTGTGCTCTCTCTTTCTCATTCTGTGTCTCTCTCAAGTAAGTAAATAAATAAATGTTTATTTTAAAAAAGAAAAAACATGGCTTTCTTTTTATCCCCCAGTCTTAACTTCACAATATCGTAATTCAGATTCTGCGAGGAAAAGTTTACAAGTATTTTTCTTCAACCCTTTTTTGGTGGGATGGAGCTTGCGTGTGATAAAGTGCAAAGGGCACAGACCTTAAGGGTACAGTCAGTGAATTTTTACGAATTTTTATGAATCTATGTCCTGCTGTAACTACTAACCAGGTCAGGATAGAGGTCATTTGCAGCACCCCAGAAATTTGTTTGGTGCTGTTTTCCTTTTAATTCCCCCACCCCACATTGATCTGATTCCGGTCATAGACAAGTTGTGGCTGCTCTTGAACTTCGTATAAATGAAATCTTACAGCAGGTCTCCTGTGCATCTGGTTTCTTTTGCTCTTTATGTCTGCGAGAATCTTCCATGTTGCTGTATGAAACGGAGAGTGACTCTGTAAGAACTTGCTTTTAAGGATTTCTACATCCTGGTTATTTTACAATATCTAAACTCTGAATTTGAATTCCAGATGTTTTGCAATTCGGTAAGTACGTAGTGAACTTTAAACATAATGCAGGATCTAAGGTGCTTGAAGTGCTAGTGGGGTGTTTTTAAGGCGGGAGAAGTTTCATTATGTTCATACGCTTCGGAACCGGGTCCTGAAAGAGGAAAGGGGTGTTTGCTGACAGAGGACAGGTGGAGAGAGGAATTGGACTTGAATTGAAGAGGGGCCCATTCACCCTGGTAAAAGAAAGGAAAGCTGTGCCATCTGACCTCCCCTCCAAATTGTAAAAACCACTCTTGTGTCTCCTGTGTTGGCAGTTATTCCACACAGCAGAAAAGCTCAAGATAGGTCTGCAGTCTGGTGCTGATGTAAATGGTAGGGTTTCCTTTATGAACATGATGAAGAACTGGGTAAATGCTGGCGATGTTTGTTCTAAGTGGATGCGGCAAGAGGGAGAGGACAGTGGCGGGCAGGTACAACAAGGAATGTTGGGGAAGAGGAGTCCCCTGGCAGGAGCAGCTGTGATACCATGATTTATAATAATATATTTGGTATTCGTCCCATTTCTGGCTCATAGCACTTAAAACCATTGGAATTTTCTGTGGTGAGAGTGGTAGCTGTGTCTTTTGTGATGTTAATGAGGCAGCTTTTGGAAAGTACCTAGGTAACCTAGGGCTGGGGGCTTATTGCCAGGGACCCAACCTTGTGATTAGGGGTTAGAATCTCAGGTCTGACCCTTGGCTTTCGGGGAAGGGAGAAGGGGGTTGGAGCAGTTGCCAGTGGCCAATAATTTAATTAATGATTTCTATGTAATGAAGCCTCCATCAAAACCCAAAAGGACAGGGTTGCGAGAGCTTCCAGGTTGGTGGGCACGTGGAGATGTGGGGAGAGCGGTGCCCCTGGAGAGTCTGGTAGCTCCCACCCTTCCCCATACCTTAGCTGGGTGTCCCTTCCATCTGGCTCTTCCTGAGTTTTTATCCTGGTGTATAATAATTACTGATATATGATATACGAGGAATCCAGTAAGTAAAATGTTTCTGTGTTTCTCTGAGTTCTGTGAGCCGCTCTAGCAAAATAATCCAACCCAAGGGGGAATTCGTTGGAACCTGTGATCTGTAGCTGGTTGGTCAGAAGCACAGGTGTCAACCCGGACTTGCCACTGGTGTCTGAAGGTTGGCGGCGGTTGGGGGCGGGGGGTGCAGTCTTATAGGATTGAGCTCTTAACCTGTGGAATCTGTCTCCAGGTAGACAGTGTGGAATTGAGTTGAAGTGTAGGACACCTAGCCAGCGTCTGAGAATTGCTTGGTGCTGGGGGGAAAAACCCACACACTGGAATTGGATGCAGAATCATTAGCAGCCAGGATGGGGTCGGGGGAGGCTGGAGGAGGGGTGGGGCCAGAGCCTGAAGAGCACCGCCAGGTGAGACCTGTGGGTATGGTAACACAATGGAATACTATTCTGCAGTGAAAAAGAGTGGAGCGGCCTGGATGGATTTCGTGGTCACTGTGTGGAGCCCAAGAAGCCAGTACACACTAGCATATAGAGCATGGTTCAGAGTTGGGCAGAAGAGGTCAGGATGGTGGTTACTGAGGATGGAGGAGGGTAGGGAGGGACATGAGAGCTTTGAAGGGGCCGGAAACTTCTAGCTTGATCTATGTGGTGGCTGCTCAGGTGAATAAATCTGTAAAAATTCATTGAGACTGCATTTAAAATGTGCGTGCTTTATGTAAAATGGTTCTCGATAAAAGAAAAAAATGAGCTGAGCTAAGGAGCTAGGCTTTGACAGAAGGGCAGGTGGGAGCCCCAGAAGAGTTTTGGGCCAGGGCCAGACCCAGTCATATTTGAATGTTGAGAGAGTCCTTGGTGTCTGGGGAGGCGGGTGCATGAGAGAGGCCAGGGTCTGCCTCAGCCTCAGGTCCTGACTAGCTCTTTAACCCTGATAAGCCCCCACCCCACCCCACTCCGGGCCCTCTTTTCCCCATCCAGTCCTCTCATGGGAGTGGGGGCAAAACAAGCAGGGGAGGGAAGAAGCCCAAAGCACTGTGAGACACCCCTTGACAGAGCTCTCTGATTCATGCCTACAGCCCTAGCCCCTAGTGCAGGGCCTTCAGGAAGTGCTGATTTTGTGAGGGGAAGTGCAGAAACTGCTGGAAGGGGGGGTCTCAAGACCGATGCCCCACCTGGGGGAATGGGTGCGGGTAGGCAGGGGCAAGATACTTCAGAGCAGGAGATCTCTCATGTGTTCTCTTAGTTTCTTAGTGAAGAGCCCCTTCTACCCAGTTCTTACCTTGTCTCACAGAAACCACTGTGATAGAAGGTGAGGAGTTTGGGCCACCCCAGGTAGTCGGTGTTTTCATTCAGTGATCTTCACTGAGGCCCTGCATATGCCAGCCCTTGACATTGAAGACACAGTAGAGAACAAACATGAAAATATGGTGCAGTCATCTCTGAGTTTCTGGATGGGCCTTTTGGCTAAGTGGGGGGCTCTGGAGCCAGGCTGCCTGGGTCATATCCCAGCTCCCCCATCTCTACTGTGACTGTGGGCAGGTTTCTTAAATCTCTCTGCCTCAGTTACCTCGTATGTAAAACAGGGCCACAATACCCACTTTGCCTCCTTTTTAGAGATTTTGTGAGGTCATTCATCTATAAAGGACTTAGCAAGGCGCTGGGCTCAAAAAATATTGTGATAGAGGGGTGCCTGGGTGGCTCAGTCTGTTAAGCATCTGCCCTCGGCTCAGGCCCTTATCCCAGGGTCCTGGAATTGAGCCCCGCGTCGGGCTTCCTGCTCAGTAAGGGGCCTGCTTCTCCCTCTCCCTCTGCCACTCCCCCTGCTTGTGCTCTCTCTCTCTGTCAAATAAATAAAATCTTAAAAAAAATATATTGTGATAGAGACAGATTCATGGGGCTGCGAGAGCTTCAGAAAGGGCTTCCTAGAGAAGGGGACATCCAAGCTGAGGCCTGAAGGAGTGTGCCGGGGGCAGTGGAGTGTGACTAGGAGGAATGAGTTTGGTAGGGGATCTGGCAACACAGGAGGGCTTCCTGCAGGGGGAGGGTGTTGGAAATGTCATCAGACATCCCATCTAATTCCTGTCTCCTTTACTCCCAGGTGGGCTGGTGTCCAGAGGAAGGGCAGTCTGTGGCAGTGGGTGGTACAAGCCCCAGTTTAGCTCTCAGAGCTGAAGCATGAGGCTAGCTGTGGATATGGAGGGAAATCCAAAGATAGCTCAGCAGAAAAGGATGACTCGCAGCCCGGGCTTCCCCGCAAATCGAAGGAAGCAAGGATGAATCAGCCTCTCAAAGTAGAATGAAGCTGCTGTGGGAAGTGAAACCTCGGTTGGAGGTCCAAGGCCACTCTGCCTCTGACTCACCTCAGACAGGGCAGAAGGAGGGCTTAGCCGCAGGGCAGGCAGGGTGTGAAATCAGGGGCCTGCAGCCAGATTCCTGGCCTCTAGACCTGGCTCCTCTTGAAACCTCAGTTTCTGCATCTTTACAATGGGGTGAAGCAGGGCAGGAAGTGGTTGTGGTGATTTACAGAAAGGGAGCACACAGTTGGACCTCCAGAAGTCCCAGCCTTTTCCCTTTTCTTGTCTAAGTCTTAGCAGATACTGAAATGAGTATGTGGGATGGTTTGGGGTTCTTGTTGAGTAGTCATCTAGGTTCTGGTGAGATGAGTAGGGGGGGAAAGGGCAGCAGAAGAAAGCAGCTACGCGTTGTCTGAAAATCAGTGGCAATAATAAAAATGATCAACTATCTCTTGTGTGTTTGGTTCTTACAAAATACCCGATCCCCTGTGCCACTCTTCTGTTTCCGTCTTCACAGCAGTTCCATGGGAACCCATCTTAGAGGTGAGGTGAAGCCACTTGCCCAAAGTCACACAGCCGGTGGATGGCAGAGCTAGGCTTTGGACCCTGAACCAAATCCTGGATTTGAAGCCCTTGCTCTTAGACTCTGATCTGGGTGGGGGGCGCGCTATTGAAGACGTCTTGGCCTACAGAGCTGGGAGGGGACTTAGAGGAGGTGTCTGCTTTGTAGATTGGGAAGTGGACAGGACAAGGGCCTTCCGCTTGATGACCTGCCTGTTGGGAATATACATATGTTTAGAAAGAAACAGCAGCTTCTTCTGGCTTTGTTGAACATTTATTACAAAGTTAAGAGCAGAGACTGGTGAGCTGTGCTCCCCCCCGCCCCACCTTCTCCCCACCAGATATTCTCTGCAGCTCTGGAAAACTGTGTCCTCCTTGCTGTCCCACCAGGGGGCGCTCCCTCCTGCCACCTCAGCCTCAGGCCTGGTTCCTTTAGCTCCGCTATCCAGTGGTAACTAAGGCACCCCAGGATCCTGGACTCTGGGACCCTGGAGTCTCAGCCCCCTCCTCCTCTGGGACCCAGGAGTCTCAGCCCCCAGGCATCTCCACTTCTAACTGAAAGCTGGAGGTCATCCATAGCAGCATAGTAAGGATGTTTTGTCCAGGGTATATGGGGTAGTAGTGACCATTTTCCCATTTGGGGCAGGGGTTTGGGTGTGTGTGTGTGGCCACAGCCTTTCTCCTTGAGCCAGTGTCGTCTCCAGCAGCCATCAGTGAGTGAGCCCACCCTAAGGTGGGGCCCCTTTGGTCCTTGCACTTGAGGTGCTTTATTCATAGGGCTGGGTCAGGAGTAGCAGGGACAATGTCCTCCACCTCAGTCCTAGGGAAAGTAGCTTGGTTCTTCCTCCATGGGTCCTGGGGAGACAAGCAGAGAGATGGATAGATAGGCCAGAAACCAGAGGGAGAGTAAGAGCAGGGACACTGAGGTGGAGACAGACAGACACCAGTGGACCGAGGAGGAAGGAAGAGGATGGGTGTTCCTGTCACCAAGAGACTGGGCACTTGGACAGAGACCGGGAACATGTCCAGGGACAGGCAGACAGACCACACAAAGAAAAGGACAGGGTATTGAGGGTCAGCAAAGGGGAGAAGGAATGTCTCCTTCCTCCCCTGCCAGTCTAGCCCCAAACTTAGAGTCCTTTCCTCCAGACAGGCAGAGCAGAAGAGAAAGAGTAGCATTGTCTCCAAGGCCATCCCCTCCCCCTTTAGCCACATGAGGTGCTATCCACAGGCACCCTTTCTCCAGGATGTTTTTCTGCCCGAGTCCCAGCCGCCTCACCAGCTACGTGGCCTCCTGGCTTGGTTCTGGAAGCTGCCTCGACCCCAGGGCAGTGCTAAGCAGCTCAGTCAGGGTGTCCAGCTTCCCTGCCAGTGCATCCATCCGCTTCTCCAGGGCCTGGTGTGAGCTGCTCAGACCCAGCTGCAAGTCACACAGGATCATGTGCATCTGGGCAGAGAGAGGGTCGGAGGTATCAGCAGGCTGAGGTAGACTTCCTCCTTATCCCGGCTGCTTGGCTCGGTGCTTTTCACACATGGTTTAAATCCTCTTAAAAGTGTGGGGAGTGAGAATTCTGTTCCCATTTTTACAACTATGGAAACGGGCCTGGAGCAGTTAAATGACATGCCCAAGGCAGCAGCTAGAGTAAAGCCTGGTACATAGAAGGTAGGTGCTCACCTAGTATTTGTGGAATTGATAAATGACTTCAAAATCCACATAGCCCTTTCATTACCTTCTCAAACTAGGAGTCACAGCTTCATCCCTGAGGGTGTGTGAGCTTTCTGTGAGAATTCTTTAATTCTCAGTTTTTGGCTGGATAATCTTCAGAAATTATGACCTGCCAATTCTGGCAGATCTAGGCCACCACCTCCTCACTGAGACCTGCCATGCAGGCCTGTGGGCCCACGTCTCTGACTGTGCTTGCCATGGTATTGATGCCAAGGGCCACTGTTCGATTTGTCTCGGGCTAATGAGAAAAAGCAAAGGCCGCTTGATAAGCAAAAGGTGCTGTGAGCCAAGAGAACGGGTGTGACGTCACCATCCCTAAGCACTGGCTGAATCAGGTGGTCCCAGCTGAAGAAGGGCAAGCTGAGTCTGCCTCGGCCAGGCAAGCCTGCCCAGCACAGAAGCCCCTGTGGCTCTGGGCCCCTCTTACTGACTTTTACTGAAACAGTGTGCCCCATCTGTGTCAGTGTTGTTAATTTGCGTTTTACTGGTTTTGCCATTTGTGTTTGAACTTGGTTTTTGTATGTTTGCTTTGGTTTTATTGTTGTCTAAGAGTCATAGTTGGAAGGAATTTTATTTATTTATTAAAGATTTTATTTATTTATTTGACAGAGACTCAGAGAGAGAGAGGGAACACAAGCAGGGGGAGCGGGAGAGGGAGAAGCAGGCTTCCCGCTGAGCAGGGAGCCCGATGTGGGGCTTGATCCCAGGACTCTGGGACCACGACCCGAGCCCAAGGCAGACGCTTAACGACCGAGCCACCCAGGTGCCCCTGGAAGGAATTTTATATCCGTCCACATTAACTCGACAATAAAAATAATGTAAAACCAAACACTGGAGTTCTTTGTGCAATTTCTCTTCCTTTTTTTAAGCTTGAAAGGGATCAGTCCCCTCCATGAGTTTAAGAAACCATCACATCATTCATTCAACCACAACCCTTTGTCGAGTGCGTGTGTGTGCCAGACCCCTGCCAGTGTTCGCTATGCTGGGGCCAGATGTCCCTGCCAGCCGCCCCGACCTCCCTTTTCTTCCAGACCCCTCCTCCCACAGGGCCCCGGTACCTTGGAGATGTCCACCATGGAGTTCACTTGTTCCCGGAGCTTTCTGTGTTTCAGCCGCACCTGGCGGAACCTGTGGGAAGAAGCCGGAGGTCAGAAGTGACCCCAGCTCGGGGATGGGATAAGGAGAGGAGAGACTCACATAGTCGCGGTCCGGTGAGGAAGAGTTGCCAGAGGTAGAGCACCCCTGAGCCCATCTCTTAGGTATCCTGACCCCCACACAGAGTGGCACGGACCCACAGACGCAGACGTGCAAGACAGGCCATCACAGACAGAGTCACCGTGAGGTCTGGGTGGACACTGTTCGGTGAGCCCAAACACGGGTGTCCTGACCTGGGCACGCACTCACATTCGCTCACACACACCATGCAGAAGGGAGGAGATGTGCACAGAGAGAGGCCCTCACCTGTTGATGGCGGCCAGCAGCCTGCGCTGGTGCTTGCGGGCGGCCCCACGGTCCTTCCTGCGCGTGTGTTTGTAAAACATCCAGGCCTCTTGCAGCACTCGGGCAGCTGATTCCTTCATCTGGGGGTGGGCACAGTGTCAGTGGAGGCAGACCTCTAGGGCTCTGGGACGAGGGGGACGGCGTCTGGACTCCCAGGTCTGAGGGAGGCATGTGCTGTGGGTGCCATGTGCCCATTCTCACCTCTTTGGTGTACTGGATGTCCATCATGAAGTTGTGCACATGCTTCTCTGCCTTATTAAACTCTAGCTTCCGGGCCACCACAGCCACCAGCAGGGCTGTGCAGCAGACCCCCTGTGGGCACAGCAGACACTATGACAGGAGGGTTGGGGGGCTCCTGTGCCATCAGACTCCCTCAGCCCCTCCCGACAGCCACAGAAGGCAGGCAAGACCACCCCTGGTTGACAGACAAGCAGGCCCAGAGAGGGGAACCGGGGTCCCACAGCCCCGAGGGGTAGAGCTAGAATCAGAGGTCATGCGTCTGAGTCCCACTTGTGTGTGTAGTGTTTATACCACCAGAATGCCCTCTTTTGTTAAAGGTGTGATTGGAGAAGGGGAGAAGGGCTGATTCTGGGTGAGAGGCAGAGGTTGGGCTCCTGCGGGAGCCCTTCCTCCCCACTGCTCACACCCAGTTGGCCAGGAGGTCACCAAAGGTGTCCTTCCCCTTCCTCCCACCCCCATGGCTCCTGCTCAGTTCTGGCCCCGTCCCTTCCCTCCTGGACCATCTCCAGCTTTCCTCTCTCCTGACCCGATGCTAGGGAGATCTAACAATTATGACCCTGCCCCCTTACCCTAATCTAGGCTCCCACTGCCCCAAACTTCTTACCCTTGCTTTCAGAGCCTTCAGAGCTCTAGGCCTCTCCTCCAGACAACTCAGCCTGGCCTCATTCTGCCTCACCTGCCCGAGCATCTTGGTCTGAACACTCTCCCCTTCTCCCTAGGCCTCTGATCCATCAGCTGTTTGGTGCTACCTGCTGCTCTTCCTTGAGTTACAGTGAATTTTCTTCTGAAGTCTTCCCCTTTCCCAAGCTGTGTCTCAGCTCATGAAAACTCTGAACAATTTACTAGTCACAAATGCTGGCTCCAGGACCGCTCGTGTTCCAAGCCCAGCTCTGAGCACGTTACTTAATCTCTCAGGGTTTCACTTTCTTCCCTGTACGATGGGCATGCCCTCACAGTAGTACTCTGTGGATTCCTTAAGCTAACACCCGGAAAGTGATCAGAGCAGTGTCTGGTACAGAGTATGTACTCGATAAAGTTAGTTATGATGATTCCATTTTGGGGGGAACCTCTCTGCCAGGAGGTGGGCTGTGAGCTCAAGTGCAAATCGCCTGATCTCTCTTGGTCTGTTTCTCTTTGTGTCAAATGAGGGAGGAGGTCCCAGGCAGCCCTGAGGGTCCCTGACCCTTTGGGAGTGTTTCCCTGGCTGAATCTCTGCCCCTCTTTCCCACTTCTGTGGGGAGGGGATCACACTTCCTCATCACCCCATGCACCACCAGTGGAAATGTAGCGTATCCTTTCTGGGACATCAGGGCTGGGGCTGGCAGCCTGAGTTTCTGAGGGTGGGAGGAGCCAGAGCTCATGCGTAGGTGAAGGCCAAGGCCTTGGGTGCTGGGTCCTGGAAGAGGATAGGGGCTAGGTAGGGGGAACTGGATGCCTGGGTCTATGAAGGGAACATGGTAGAAGTCTGGATTCAGGAGGAGGCCAACTCTGGGGAGCCTCTGCTTCATATCTGACATGAGCTAGAGTAGGGGCAGCTGGATGCTTGGGGCCAATTACAAATAAAAGCCTTCCCTCCCCGCCCCCCACCCCTTGACCCATTTACCGAGCATTTCCTATGTGCTGGGTGCTGAGACCCTTAATGTGGTTTAATTCATCTCAGGAACTCCATGAGGAGTACACTACTATCAGCATCCCCATTTTATAGATGAGGAAACTGGGAGATTATAGGCTTGATCCTAGCTGGGAAGTGGCAGATGTAGGATTTGAAGCCAGGCAGGCTGACCCCACAGGCATGCTTTTGATGAAGCCTTAATGGAGGCTGGAGACTGGGTTCCTGGGTCCTGGAGGAGCCTAGAGCTGGGAAACCAGGGGCCTGTGTCCTAGATGATTGGGAGGGCAGGGGGGTGAGGGGCAGGATGTCTGAGCCTTCATGAGGCTCAGGGCTGGATTCCTGGATTCTGGAAGGAAATGGGGCTGGGAAGTCAGGGGCCTGTGTTCCCGAGGACGGTGGGGCCTAGGGTCCTAAGTTCCAAAGAGAGCAAGGACTTAGGGGATGGATTCCTGGATTTTGAAATGAAATGGGGCTGTGGCATCCAGACACCCAAGTTTCTTGGGAGGGGTGGCCTTGGGTGCCTTTGTTGGCTCCATGATTTCTTGGGCCCAGGGGATAAGCAGTTGGGGGTAGGGGTAGGGTCCCTGAGGGGGCTGTACTCACCATGACTCCAGTGTAGAGACAAACAATCTTGCCCCACAGGGTGCCTGGCACCACGTCTCCATAGCCAATGGTCAGGAATGTGATGGGGATCAGCCACAGTGTGTCTGAAAGGTGTCCGGTGGCATTAACGGCCTGCCTGTGGGGAAGAATGGGTTAGTCCTGAAACGCTACCCCAGGGGTTCCCGTGATGTCTGATACTCTCCTTCCTAACACACCTACAGTCCCCAGAAGCACTCAGAGAAAAAGTAAGTTCTGGGCTTTGGAGGGCCTGCCTGGCTTCCTTTCAGCTGTATGAGCTGGGCAAGATTCGCTCAGCCACTTTGGGCTGTGGGATTTGAACCTGGATCCAGCCAATTTCAAAGCCTGTTTGGTTTTAGCTGGGCTACCAGGACTGCTGCTTTCAGAGCAGGTTGAGGGGTTGAGAGGGGGCAGAAACCCAGCCCAAAGTCCTCTTGTCACACCCTGTCAGCATCCACCCAGAGGGAAGGGGCGACTTTTTCTCTTCTTCTTTTTTTTAAAGATTCTTATTACTTTTTTAAAATAATCTCTACACACAACGTGGGGCTCAAACGCACAACCCCGAGATCAAGAGTTGCACACTCCACTGATTAGGCCAGCCAGGAGTGCTTTTTTCTAATGTCCATAAAGATGCTCTGTGGCCTACAGGTGGCCCTGTCAAGACTAAAAAGGCAGGACCCTGCCCTCCCTTCCCCTCACTTCATAGAAGGGGACATTTAGTTCCAGCCATGGAAGGGACTGAAAATCCTGATGTATCTAAACTTGAGCCCGCAGACCATTGCATCAGGGTCAGCAGGGAAAGCTTCATTCATGAGGCCCCAGACATGTCAGACCCACTAATCTAGTGTCTGAAGGTGGGGACTGAATTTGCACTGTTAGGCCCTGCTCCCCTCATCCAGAAGTACATTCAGGGTTGAGGAACTTCTGCCTTGGGGTTCAGAAATTTGACCTCCTGCCTACCCTCCCATTTTTCAGATGAGAAACATGGTGGGAGGAAAACATCCTACAAGATGAATGAGTTTAAAATCCTGAGAGATGAGAATTGCTGGGGAGACTTCAAAGATGGTAAAATGTGACACCCCTTTTACAGATGAGGAAACAGACGGTCAGAGAGGAAGGATCTAAAGCCAGTTCTTGTCATTCCCCACTTCCCCTCAAGAATCCTTTGCCAGGGGCGCCTGGGTGGCTCAGTCCTTAAGCGTCTGCCTTCGGCTCAGGTCATGATCCCAGAGTCCTCGGATCAAGCCCCGCATCGGGCTCCCTGCTCAGCCGGGAGCCTGCTTCTCCCTCTCCCACTCCCCCTGCTTGGGTTCCCTCTCTAGCTGTGTCTCTCTGTCAAATAAATAAATAAAATCTTAAAAAAAAGAAGAATCCTTTGCCAGATGTACCAAACCAGAGGTTTCCAAACTTGAGCCCGGGTCAGAATCCCCTGTTAAAACAGATTGCTGGGTCCCCACCTGCCAGAGTTTTGGATTTGGTAGGTGTGGGTAGGGCCTGAGAATTTGGATTTGCAGTAGGTTCACAGGTGATGCTGCCGGTCCTGGAACCACACTTTAAGACCCCCTGGCTAAGATTACCATCACTTTCTTTATCTGTAAGAGAGAGAACCTGAGGCCCGGCTTCCAGTCTGTCCAGCAGGCAGCCTGGAATCCTGTATTCATTCCCTGCAGGAAATTCCCTTCCAGAGAAGCCCCAAATCGCCACCGCCCCAGGATCGTGGGGAGCACCTACAGGGCATCTGTGCTAATTCAGAAAAGGTGTCACCGTCCTCCAAGGAGGCAGTTGCAACTTTTGGCCGGGCCCCAGCGCCTGGCTTTAGAGACTGAACAGGTGCCCCGAGACCTGAGGCAGGACAGGTGTGGAGGTGGGAAAGGAAGGGCTTGCTAGGGTGTGTGTGTGTCTGGGGAGACGGGAGGCGGCAGGTGGAGGAAGGGCAGAGCTGGCCCGCTGGTTCCTCCCACCCCAGTGGATGAGTGTGGACAAACAGCTTTCTCCTCTGCTTTGGCCCAAAGGGGCCCAAGCTGTACCACTGCCCCGGGCAGCTGTGGCTGTGAACGGCTCCTCAGATGCGCCAGGGACCCCCCACCGCTCACCCCCAGCACCCTCACCTCTCGGCCACCGACAGCACCCAGGCGGTGGTGAGCCAGAGGCCAAGCGTGAGGCAGAGCAGCAGGCGGCCGGGGTGCGTGTTCATGTACAGCTTGGCCACGAACCAGTGGCGGAAGCGGACCTGGTTGAGGGCGCCGATGCTGCGGTAGGACGCGTTGAGCAAGACGCCGCTGCGCAGGAGGACGGCGCGGGGCACCAGGTAGAGGCGCAGCAGCATGGCCAGCGACAGCAGTGCCTCGCCCTCATCCAGGAAGCCCGGCCAGGACTGCGTCGCCATGGGCCGGGACCCCAAACCCTGGGCGCACGGCGGACCCCGCACCGGCGTTGGGTGCAGCGCGCACACAACCAGCTCCAGCACGATCTGCGCCGCCTGCCGCCCGGTCAGCGCCACGCGCCAGTCCCGGAGCCCGTTGTCGGTCATGAACAACTGCGGGGAGGGGACAGACGGGGGAGGGGGTCACACGAAGGTCAGGCGGCCTCCCGCCTGCCAGAGCCGAGAGATGAGGAGAGATGGGGGGGCGCGCCCAACAGCCCGGGGCGGGTGGGGAAGGAGTGGGACAGGACCTTCAGGAGGACGTCTCTCCCCGCCTGCCAGAGCCGAGAGATGACGAGACATGGGGGGAGGGGGGCGCGCCCAACAGCCGGGGGCGGGTGGGGTTGGGGAGGGTGGGGAAGGAGTGGGACAGGACCTTCAGGAGGATGTCTCTCCCCTTTCTTCCTCACCCCCTCGCCCTCAGTCTCAGCCCACTTCCAGAATTTCCTGTGTACCCCACATTGTTCTATATATTGAAGATACAGGTGCACAGAGCGGAAAGCCTTGCCTCCCCGGAGCTTACAGTCCAGATGCACGGAGCCATCTCCTCCTGTTTCTGGGGGCAGGGGTAGTAACTAACTGAAAACCGCATATACCATTGGCAATGACAATAGCGAACATTTACAGGGCACTTCGAACGAACGGGCCAGGCACTGCTCTATCTCCTTTGCATGTTATGACTCAGGGGATGCTCACAACACAGTGAAACTGAAAGCCTTTTTACCCCCATTTTACAGATGCAGAAACTGAGGCCCAGGTCTCTCAGGTGTAGCAGCACAGCTGAGCCACAGATCCAGGCCACTTAACTGTTTCAGTGACTGCTATTATGTACTTTTTACTGAGCAGGCACTGCAGGGGGAATTACTACACATGATGGATAACCCGCATTTTATATACAAAGGTTTCGGGGGATGGGGGAAGGGGTAAAGGCAACAGGATATAGGGATGTGGGGGATGGGATGAGGGGAGAGCTCGGGTGGAGAGTTGAGTGTCTGGGTGGGACACGACATGGGAGGGGGGCAATGGGTGGAAGACCCCCCCCCCGGGTATAGGGGGTAATTGGCACAGAGGTGGGGAGCTCAGGAGTAGGGAAGGACCCTCAGGCGCATAGCCTGGATTTCAGATTGCTTGGGGCTAGAATAGGTGGGTCCTCAGGGATGGAGGACAGAGATCTGGGGGGCTGGGCCTGGAGTGAGGCTGCCTGGGGGTGGGAGCTCTCAGCATCCATGGGCATGCAAGGGGAGACAGGGCTGCAGGTGGAGCATGGGACTGGGTTGCTCCAGGAGGCTCAGTCTGTCTATCTGTGGTTATTCTCATCTTCGTGGGTGAGGGTGTGGACAAATCTCAGGGTGGAGAAACCTCATTACTCAGACCAGGAGGAGGAGGAGGGTGGAAAGTGTGAGCTGACAGGGAGTGGGGGGGGCTGGGGGGAGCAAGGAAGGGGCCCAGGGGTGGGGCCTGCCCTACCTGGACCTCTTTGGCGTGAAATGCCACGATAAGACAAAGGAGCAAGAAGGTGGAAATGCTGATCATGCATTTAACCAGGAACAGGTAGAGCGCCCACTGTGGGGAGGGACAGAAAAAGGGGTAAGATCCTAGGTCCCCAACTGGTCAGTTCCCTCCATCTTCCTCCCATAATGCCATCCCTTCTCAATTCCCAATCTCCTGGCCTCCTCCACCCATTCCTCCCTGCCTGTTCCCACCCCCCCAACCTGATTCCACCCCATGTCTCAGTTTGGGGGAACTCTTCAAACCCATCATCTGGTCCCCAGGGAGAGTGCCCTCTTCCTTCCCAGACTGACAGCCCTGGCTCAGACGCCAGTATATACCCTCCTCTTCAGCCATTCTCCTAGGATCCACACCTGAGGGGAGACCTTGCAACTTACAGCCCTTTCTAATTCCCCCATCCCCTTCCCCACCAAAAATAGTTCCTCAGTTAGGGGGTGGGGGAGTGGGGAGGTCTAGAAACAGACATCTGGCCTCTAAAAAGCTCCCCTTCCCTTCCCTGACCACACAGCTGGTCTGGCCTGAGAAAGCAACCTGCCCTAGAAGGTCCTACCACCTTCCCAATTCCCCAAGGAGCCTAGAAATGATCACCCAATACCCAGGGAGTGAATGACACCCTCCCACTCCCCACCCCACCCAGGGCACTTGGTCTCTCAGGGGCCCTGGCCCCTGCATCTCCTTCCCCCTGCCCTCTCTTCTGGCTCTAAGCCCAGGGCAGATCTGGCCGGAAGCACATGGCCTCCAAAAACCACAGAGAGATTTTTTTTCCCCCTCTCTTTGTGTGGCAATACCTTGGAGAGATCTAGAATTCTGGAAGGAGAGGTTTAGTGGGGACTGGGACTGCTGGATTCCCTAGGAGGAGTGGGGAGGGGTCCCTGTGTGAGGAGTGTTGTCAGGGAGAAGGATCCACCTGGGCTCCCATGCTGAGCTTAGCACCTGTTTCTCCACAGATGTCTGCCAGCTCCCCACTGCAGGGCCAGGGCCCCACCTCCGTGCAGGGGAAGAGGGCCAGTTTCCTGCCCCAGGGGGCCTGCCCCCCCAGCCCTCCCCGAACAATGGTGCTGTTGTTCTTAGCCCTCCCCTACCCCTTCATCCTTCTAAGGCTCCCTGGTTCCCTGTCTCTTTCTTTAGTTTGTCCCAAACTCTACTCCACTAGACATACCCCCTGCCCACACTGCACACCACTTCTCTCTACTTGGCTGGTTCCTCTTCCCCCAAATCCCTGACTCAGTCTGAAATTTCCCTGTCTCTGGGGATGCTTCTGTTTCGATCTCTACTTATGTCTGAGGGTCTCTGTTTCTGTCAGACTTTCCATCTCTCTGTGTGTATCTCAACTTGGGGAGCTCTGTCTTTCTCTGTGGCTGTACTTCTGTCTCTTACTGCATCGTTGTCTCTGTCTCACACCGCCTTTGTCTCTCAGTGTCTCTGTCTCTCAGTCGCAGTCTCTCTCCGCCCCTCCCCCTGCTGATATCTCCATCTTCTTCCCCTGCACTCCCCCACTTGGGCACCTTCCTCCCCTCCAGCCCCTCCCCCTGGGGAGCAGGTGTCTGGGTCCCTGCAAAATGAGCTCCTAAGACTGAGATGGAGGTGGGGAGGAGGCATGGATGTTGTTGAGGCACAAGTAGAAAGGGGGCTGAGGAGGACCCCTAGGGCCACATATCTCACCCCTCACCCCCAGTTTACAGATGGGGAAACTGAGGCTCAGAAAGCTGCAGCAGCTTCCCCAGAGTCCAGCTGCTGGAGGCAGCAGCCTGGCAGATGGCAGAGGGAAGGAAGAAATGAGAGGTGAGAAGGGGAAGAGAGGGAGTGGGGTAGGAAAGACCCCCTGTCCCTTCCCATCTGCCAGGAGCTCAGGTCCCCACCTCCCCTGCTGGGTGGGGTGCTGAAGCGTGGGAGCGGCGGGTAGGCCCTGGCCATGCTTCCTGTTGGCATGGGCTTCGGCGGCCCCACCCCCTCTGTGCCTGCTGCCCTGGCCTCGGCTGCCCGGCCAGAGGAAGCTGGCCTGCCCTGACCCTCCATGTGGCTCCTGGTCACTTCGGAACTGCCCTCCTCCTCCACGGCCCCCGAATCCAAGCCTGAGCTTCCCTCCTCCAGGAATGCCCCCCAACTCAATCCTCACATCAGCGCCCCCCAGCCAGCCCGATTCCACATTCCTTACCCTAGACAGTTCTCCAACCCCTCCTTTCCGGTTAAGCAATTCTGTTCTGTCCTTCATCCACTGATTCTGACCCCTGTCCTCCATCTGCCCCATTGCTGCCCAGACCGAGGCTGGAATGTGCCGAGAGCCTGCTCAGACCGGTCCTGGCCCCACCTGTCCTTTTCCTCCCCACTCACACTATCCTCAGTCAGGCCCCTCTTCCCCCCAAAGACGCTCTAAGCCTCCTTCAGACCCAGGAGCCTGGGTTCCCAGCCCCCTCCCCTGGGACCTAGGAGTCTAAGCCACTGTACACCTACTTCTCCACTATGCCCCAGACTAAATAGCTTGCAGACCCTGGGGAGGCTGGGAATGATGGACATGGGAGGGGCAGGGGGTTGTTTTCCATATCCCACCCCCACCCCAGCCAGTTTCTTTTAGTCTCTGCCCTTCGCTGCTGCTGAGGCACTGGGTAAACCTGAGTTTAGATAAGGACCAAGGAGCTGCCGCCTACTTGGAAGAAGTTAATCTTTCTCCCCACCCTCCCTTCGCTGAACCTGAGGCTACCTCTCCCCTGATCTGTTCTTGGGAGATTGGAGGATCTGATCAGCCACCCCCCTGGCCTCCAGGGGTCCCGGACGTCCAGCTGTCCCATTGAAAACCTTCAAAGACTGAGGCACTGTGACCCCTGTTCCCTTCCTTTTGCAGAGACAGCCCTGAGCATTTACCTCCCTTGGGTCCCAGGAATCCAGAACCTCAGCCCTCTCCTCCTTCAGACCCAGGAGTCCAGACCCCCAGGTCCTCCCCCCTCAGACTTAGGACTCCGGACCTCCAGCCCCTCCTCCCTCAGACCCAGGAGTCTCAGCCCCCTCTCCTCCTTCAGACCCAGGAGTCCAGACCCCCAG